CCGCGAGGCTTCTGATTGGGAGTTAGCGAGTTCCGCCGAGGGACCGAGTTAGCGACTTCCGTACGAGGACGGAATTCGCTAACCCGGCTCTAGAGCGGGTTAGCGGGTTCCGGAGTTAGCCAATTCCGAAACCGAACAAGTTAGCGAGTTCCTCTCATCGACCAAATTTGAAGATAGGGCGTTTAACATGGGGTTAGCGAGTTCCAGAGTTAGCCAATTCCGCGGACCCGATAGGGCATTTAACATGGGGTTAGCGAGTTCCAGAGTTAGCCAATTCCGCGGACCCGTTGAGTGACGGTGCTTGCTGTAGCATGTTGAGAAGCTCGCTGTGATTGATCGTCATGAAACTGTGTTGTGATTGGCTGTTGTGTTTCTGTTGCCGTCGAAAGGAACGTAGGCCTATCAGCTGTCATATTCATTCCCATCATTCCTTGTTCATCGTTCACCGGGACGTTGGTTTGGTGTTGGTCGGTAAAATTTGTTTGCTTTGCGGCTACGGCTACAATTTCCGATCGCGATGACTCGGCATCGTGGAATGATTGCTTGTCGAAGGATTTGTTTTCTGAGTGTGTTTGTTGTGATGATGTTTCAGGGCTTCCCGCTGTTAGTGTGCATGATTCATCTTCACTAATATCGCTGGTGTTTGTGTCAATTTCAATGTTGTTATTGTCTTGATTATTATCGTCACTATCCCCACTATTTCCGATTATTTTCCTAGAGGGTTTAGGGTTTTGGCGTAAATTGTATTGACTCATCATCTTGGATATCTTTAACTAACAGGTGACTGATAATTATGAAAAGGGAAACAGGTGGGGAATCTTAACTTAGATACCTTTATAATAGTACAACACTCTTATAGGCTATTCTTAGTTTAACCCAGTGGCGGCTCTAGGACCTTGTTTAGGGGGGGGCTCCGGGGGGCTGGGGGGGTGTGGAGCACCCCCCAACAGAAGAGGGGGGTCGGGGCTTTTAATTTTACATTTTTAAAGCCGTTTGGAGATTTTTTAAAGCAATTTTAACGCCTAAAACTGTGTCCAATAATGTGATCGCGGGAGATGACGATGACATTTCAGTGACCTTGGGAGACGACAATGATATCTGCTCGGCCGCGGGAAATGTTCATGATTTTGCCGCGATCCCGGACGACGACGATGACGTTTCCGTGACCGCGGGAGATGGCGATGACATTTCCGTGACCGCGGGAGATGACGATGACGTTTCCGTGACTGCGGGAGACGATGATGATGTCTACACGGCCGCGGGAAATGTCCATGATTTTTGCCGTGTTCGCGGACGACGACGATAATGTTTCCGGGACCGCGGGAGATGACGGTGATGTCTAAACAGCCGCGGGAAATGTTCAGGATTTTGCCGAGCGGACGACGACGATCATGTTTCTGTAACCGCTGCAGTCAATGATGATGTCTAAACGTACGGTACGCGGAAGATTTCATGATAAAAAAACAACCAAATTTGCTAGTTAGAATTTTTTATTGCTGCATTATTTCTTTACTTGAAAACTCTACATTATCATAATAGGTACTACTTTATGACAAAGACAGGGGTTGGTGTAGTATTATTTAGAAAATTTGGTTAAGCTATAAAAATTGGTATCGGTATCATGAATCGAGAATCGATACATTTTTTTATCAACGCCCACTAATTGTTGAAAAAACTAGTCTAGAAAAATCTGGAATTAGTCTTGAAAACTCTGGAATTAGTCTTGAATTTTATAATGGAAATAAACTAGACACCCTGAATACAGTCATGCTTTGTGAACATTTGTCGTGGTAGTAAGTTGGGAGAAATTAAGCATTATCACTAGCCAATGATTATTTTGTGTTCCATGTTTACAAAGGTTACTTGGTTGAACAATCCTGCGATAGTTACATTTGTGTGTGAAGTTTTCTCAATAATATCCTGTATTAGTTAGCAGTTCATCTATTGTCACCACCTTCAATATCGTTGCAACCTCCAATGGCAGAGTAACTGTGTCGGATTTAGTAAAAGTTTGAGTAATTTTGTCAAGGATGTTTAACACTCCATTTAGCTTAGCATTCGGCTTTTACCCCCGGCTACTTCGGCCTGGAGACCTTTTGTAGCACCCTTTAATTCATTCTGACAGCCCTAGGCTCCTCAAGTAGCCCAGGAGCTGAAAGACACCCAGCTTCCTTATCTCTGTTGGTTCCAGGAATAACCTCCCCAGAGATATAAGCCTTCTATGGGCCAACGCTGGACAGTCCAGCCATAAGTGTTCTGAGGTTTCTACCTCGTTCTCACAGAACCTGCAGAGGTCTGTTTGTGACGTCCCTATGGTCCTGAGATGTTTCCTGATAGGACCGTGCCCTGTTAACACTCCTACTAGCAGACTAATGTCCCCTTTCTTAAGGCTCAGCAAGTCTTTCCAGCCTTTATCAGTGGGGTCGATTAGTAATTTGGACGTCCTCATACCTGGGTGGTTCATCCAGGCCAGAGCCTTTTGAACCTTGACCCAGTCTTGGACTTTGGCTACTCCTGAGCTTATGGGGGTACCACAGTAGGGTTCTGGTCCTGACAGTTGGTCTTCCGCACCCTTCCTGGCCAATGCATCGGCTTTTTCGTTCCCCTCATGCCCCGAATGTCCAGGAACCCAAGACAATTTGACTTGGTTTCGCTCTGCTAACTTTTTGAGGGTGTTTTTACACCCTTTTACTGTTCGTGACTGTGTCACACATGACCCCAGCGCCTTCAATGCTGCCTGGCTGTCAGAGAGAATAAGGATTTTACCCTTTCTTAGATTCTTGCTAATAATATTATTAGCACAGCACTCAATCGCCAGGACCTCTGATTGAAAAACTGTTGTTGTTCTGCCCAAGGCCAGAGATATTTTGGTTTTGTTACCATACACTCCCAGCCCTGATCTCTCATCCTTCCGACTTCCATCGGTGCAATAGTCCAAGCATGCTCTGTCATTGCTGAAGTTGCACTGTTGCCAGTTGTCTCTTCCCCCTATTGCAACTTGGTAAGGAATCTCGAAGTCGTATTCCTTTGTCATGAGGTCTGGTGTGCCTAGTTCCATGTCCATGCTTGGGAATCCCCTCAGGATGGACAGGTGGCCAGACTGCCTCTGTAGATTCAGCTCACCTCTGTTGCCCATTTTTAGTGCAGATATGGCTGCGCATTTCTTAACTTCCAGCCCTAGTGGGAGCATGTCGAGTATTGCCTCCGTTGCATCTGTGGGACAGGATTTCATGGTCCCACAGATCCCCGAGCACGCTAGCCTTTGCAGCTGCTGCAGTTTCCTGCCAGCTGCTGTCTGCTCTGCCTTAGGCCACCATACTAAGGCTGCATATGTAACCATTGGTTTGACTATGGCTTCATAGGTCCAATGTGTGAGTTTGGGACTGAGTCCCCATTTCTTGCCAAAGGTTCTTCTGCAAGCACCAAAAGCACCTGTACCTTTTGCGAGTACATAGTCAAAGTGCCTGCTCCAGGTCAGTTTCTGGTCGAGGTAAACTCCAAGGTATTTTGTTTCCTTCACAAGTTTTACACTTTTCCCCTGAATTTTTGGGGCTGTTAGGTTAGTTCTCCTTCTCGTAAAGGAGATTAGCTCTGTTTTGTCAGGGTTAATTGTGAGCCCCTCTTTGGAGCACCACCCCTCAATGAAGCTAACGGCTGTCTGGGTGAGGTTGTTCACTGTGGCTGCGTGTTTGCCTCTAACAGTCAGCACTAGGTCGTCTGCAAAGGCTTGGAGGTCTATGTCTCTCCTGTCAGCCTCTCTCAGTAGATCATCCACCACAAGAGCCCACAGCAGGGGTGAGATAACCCCTCCTTGAGGGCAACCCTGTCGAGCAATGATAGCTGTCGAGTAGCCTCCCAATTCTGCCGTCACCACCCTGCTCTTGAGCAGGGCATTTATCCAAGCTGCTACGTCGGGGGAGATGCCCCTGCTTCTGACTGCAGCCTCTATAGATTTGTAACTCACGTTGTCAAAGGCACCCTGTATGTCCATGAAGACCCCTGCCATAATTTCCTGGTGTTCTAGGGTTTCCTCGATCTTTGCCACTAGGGTGCTTAGGGCCGTCGTTGTAGATTTGCCCTTCATGAACGCATGTTGGCTCGCACTTAGGGGGTTGATAACTGAATATGCATCCCTAATGTGGCGGTTTATCACTTTTTCCATAGTCTTTAGCATGAAAGACGACAGGCAAATTGGCCTATAGGATTTAGGCTGGGCCTGGTCTCTACCTTTTTTCAGCAGAAACGCCACCCTTGATTTCCTCCAACAAATTGGGATGTAACCTAGGGCAAAGCTGCCCCTGAACAGAGCTATCATATGATTTAAAAGGACCTCTAGTCCTTCTTGGATGAAAGCTGGGAATATTCCGTCCCCGCCTGGATACTTGAAAGGGCTGAATGAATCGACAGCCCACTTCACGACCTCCGGCTTGAACAGCTTACTCGAAAATCTTCTAGCCAAAGCAATGTCTCTAGGTGATTTCCTATTCCAGGGTATCACGTGTTGTCCTATTGAGTTGCCTAATGGGGTGTTCCCTGGGAAGTGGGTGTTCATAAGGACTTCAAGAGTCTCCTCCATTCCTATTGTGTGACTCCCATCCTCCCGTTTTAGCATTCGGCTTATTGATGACACAAATATTAACATAATATGTATTAGGCCATATTTCAATGAGGTTAGGCTGTAAAAATCCCTACCATGGCTACCGGCAATCAATAATATAATACATAATTTTTCCTTGAACTTTGAAGGCTAAGTTTGCAATCTTTAACAGTTTTAGCCTCACCAAACTTCTAAACTGCTGGGGGGTTTGCAGGAGGGTTAACTTAGTTATTAGTTATTAAAATCCACCAAATTTTTAGGTGTGTGAACAGGCCTTCTCGCAGATGCAAACTGAAGCTACTCGCAAGTGGCAACTCCCTTTAAAACAGTTCAATAACTCATATCTGTTAGATGGTTTGATTGAGTCAGTGATAACTTGTGATGTGTTTTATGTTTGTTAAAGGTCGGTTGTCCGCCCTAGATGCCTTCTCTCTTGATACAATAAGCTGTGTTTCGGATGGCTTCATGTTGAATCTTGGAGCCGTACTGCTGAGATTATCAGTCCCATTCACAGACACTGATAAAAATCCAAAACTACTGAGAATAGACCCTACATACCCTTCTGCAAAGGTAAGAATTGTTTACAAATCTGTCTTCTTGTAGAATTTATCAATACGATTGACTGAAAATGTAGATTTAAATGCCTCCACTCCAGAAACAAATAAGTCTGGGGCTTAAAAAATGTTTAATAATAAATAAATAAAAAGTATGCCTTGTGTAAATTTGATTTAAGTGCCAAAGCAAGTGTATAGCCTTGCTAACTTGATAAATGTTAACCAGGAAAATGATAAGTTTAAGAAAATGATGTTTCTACGACCTGTCAGACTGTAACATATTAGAAAACAAGGTAAGTTATATATTTTCATCCAATGTAGGCAGTTAGGCTTTTGACTGTCATACTATCAATTTAATTAACAGGCAGACTTTAATCACTTTTTAAACCTTTACACTACATTTGAGTGTTTTTATTTTATTGATGATTAAGCTCTAATGATGGCTAAGAGTATTGATATTTGTTGAGTGCAATTTAATATTTGCCATATGTCTGTTTTTAATGTTATACTTCAATGATGAATACCAGATGGTTAAATTGTTAAATGTGTTGTTAAAAACAATAATAGTAAAAATCTATGTCTTCACTTAGATGGTTGAATTAAAAGTGTTGAGTTTAATAATTCAGTTTGCCCTTTTATTTTATTGAGCTAGGTATTTTAATTTAGTGTTCAGGGAAACCACATATTTACAGGTTATGGGCCCAGGGCTGTTTATATACGGAATTTGTTAATATTTTTTTTACCTGGCTAATCAAATTGGATTAATATTGCAGCTGAACATGAAAAGTATTGAATACCATTGTTTTATGGAACCAATTTCAGCAATTGGAAATTTAGAATTGAAACTCAGCTGAAGGAATTAGAATTATTATCTTTTGTAAAGGAATCTTATGTTACCAAAGTTGAATTTCTGGATAAAGACACATATGAACAACGAGAGAGGAAGGAAGCAAGGTTGTTGGAATTAGCGAAACAAGATCGGAAGTGCAAGTCGCAGATTATACAGCGTATTGCCGGCAGCCATTTGGAATATGCATAAGACAAGGCAACTGCTTTTGAACTATGGCAATCTCTCTGCAACACATTTGAAAGGAAAGGAATTGCTAGCCAACTTCTACTAAGGAAGCAGTTACTAACAATGAAGTTTGATGCGAAGAATGAGGTTTTAAATCGTCACTTTCTGAAATTTGACAAAGTCATAAGAGAGTTACGTTCTACAGGAGCAACTGTCGAGGAATCTGACATTGTTTGTCACCTACTACTGACGTCGTTGTCACGGCCATAGAGACTCTATCAATGAAGGACTTATCTCTAAGCTTTGTGAAGGTCAGACTGCTGGAAGAGGAGACAAAGAGGAGGGGCGTTGAAAAAATGGAATTTGATTGTACATCACCACCTACTGCCTTCCAGTAATTTTCCAGGAAATCAAGGAACTTCTGGCAACTCGTTCAATTTCACGTGTCACAGATGCGGAAAGCTTGGACACAAACGAGCTAACTGCAGAGTCAAATTACCATAGAACCCAGCAAAGAAAAATAATTCTGCGAACGTGGTCGACACCAAACAGGAAGATGCATTTTGTTTTGGAACATCAAGTGAAGACTGTTCAGCAGATACCATAAATTGGATATAGACAGACAAAGCTTCATTGTACATAACGCCTGATACAATAATTACAAAAGTAATTCCCAAGCTGGTACATGGTCAATTTATATCTAATTTATATCTAGGTTCCTTAATCTAATTATACCCTGACAAGAGTAAAAACTGTTACAATTTATCTTTAAAAAACGTCTGAATTTTGTAATACGCTTTTTGGCTCAAAGTCTCTTTCAGTTTATATGTAAAATTTGATTTTGATAAAGTTCTGTATGAATTAGGTAAATGATTGTAGATTTTTAATCCCATGTAAAGAGGCCCAGTTTCAAATTTTGTGTGCGAATGTTTGGGATATTGAAAAGTTTTGTTATTATTTCTCGTTTGATAGTTATGATTTATTTTATATTTTTCAAAAAAGAAAGGATTTGCATGAACATACTTTGCTATTTCAAATATATAAAGAGAAGGTAATGTTAAAATGGAATGTTTTTTGAAAAAAGGTTTACAGCTTTTTTTTAGACTTCTGGTGAAAAATAGTTCTGAGAATTTACTTTTGGCAAGTGAACACTTTCTTGGCCTCTGCAGAGTTACCCCATAGAGTGACGCCATAAGCCAGCAAAGAATGAACATATGCATGTGTGACGCAAAATTCTAGGGGGGGGAATAAACTGGTATTCACTTAAGTCAGGCTAGGCCTATCCCTAGAACCGGCCACACTCAAATTTCTTCCCCGGAGTGCTCAGAAGGAGACGAGAAAAACCCAGGGGTCGATACGAAGTTGTCACGGCTTTGACTGATCAATTTATTTAAAATTGTATCGAAGGCTCAGAGCTCAGGAAACGTTCAGGAAATCCTGCAGACGCTCAGTTGGAGCTATATCATCCTCACCTTCGCTAACGTGTTTTAGTAAATTTTGCCTAACTTTTAGAATGACTCTGTAGGGCCGACGAGTATCCAATCTTAAGCCAATGTGATATAAATACTCGTAATGAGCTTTAAAATATTTAAAGGTCTAGGTAAATAATATAAAATTGAATATAATGTAAAAGCAATTCCTACAGAGTCGTCGGGGCCTAATTAATATAATTGGACGGATAATTTAACGTGAGTGGTTCAAAATAAATTCAATATCAATATTCGTAGCTGTTTGATTGTTCAAATCAGCTGCTCCCAAGACTTGATTCTTTCACCCGCCAAAGACGGGGTTTAGAACTTAGACGACAAGTCTCGGGGTATTAAAACGGCGAAAACGAGGTACAATTTAGACGTGATAATTATTTGTTAAGCGAACGGAGAAATCGTATTTCGAAACTAATTAATTAAAATAAAATAAACGATCGCCACCGCTAGTCACTGGCAGGCAGGAACTGGCGGGTCAAGACTCAAGTTAAGATATTAAATTTAGATAATTCGAAACGGAATATTAAGAAAACGAAAAGGTATAATAAGTTAAGTATGCGTAAGATAAAACAGAAAGAACGTAAAACGTAAAAATGGGCCTAACTAGTATGGTAGCTAACCTTCGTAATAATATCGTAGTGTCGTTTCGTTGTATTCGTAACCCGTGCGAGCTAGTCGGTGGTCAAACAGCGAATAATTCTTGTCCAGCTCAAATCCCGATTTCCTTGGCCGCGGCTCAAGCGCTGCGGTGGCGATTTCGGAAACTAGCCAACAGCTGATCGGGGATTCGCCTGTTGAGCCGGTCTAGTTGTCGTCTGTCGTTGGTCAACAACCACCATTTCGAGGTTAAGTGATGTTTTAATCGCCGTTAAATATTCGTAAAATCGGTTGTTTTAACTTTATTATGTGAAACGGAGTGCTATTATGAATAAATATATCGTTGTGGGTGTGTTTGTGTACTTCACTGTTATTAAAAGTAGGCCTACGTTCTTTGGCCCATAGCCCAAGCTATGGCCAACACATAGGCCTAGGAGTAGGATGTTGTGGATAAAAATCGGGTAAGTTATGGTGTTTGTTGACTAGCAATACGTTTTTACCCCCCTTAAAATTTGGTACCTCACACATGATATACTGTCAAGCAGACTTCTAGCGGCGTGACCTTGGATAGTACACTTAGTGAATACCTTGTTGACCTTAATTTTTTATTTAGATGATGAATGTGATATCAGACCAACTTAATTTTGAGTCTAAATTTAGACCTAAAAACTTAACAATTTTTGTATTACTGATTGTGGTGTCTGTAACTCTGTTTCTGAGTTTAAATTGAAGAATGTTAGTTTTACATTCATTTAATTTCAGGCCATGGCTCTCAAACCATTCATTGATTTTTTTATTGTGCTTTCAAAAGTTAATTTAAGTTCACTTAGTGTTTTTCTTTTTAAAAGAGCAGTTGTGTCATCGGCATACAAAGTGAAAGCACAGGAATTTGTGTAAAGGCAATTAGGCAAGTCATTAATAAATATAATAAATAATAAAGTTGTAAGAATATATTACTTACGTCAATCAGCTCATTGAGTCGTGAGTTTCACCTCAGTACATGTTTCGACACATTGTCATCATCAGCTGAGTTAGTACTTGTGAAGGTTTTATTCACCAGATGGCTTCGTCATGTTGAATAAATTAACACGTAACATGTAACACGAATACGACACGACACATATACATTTATAACACGTAAAACTTGAAGACATGCAGGCCTGCTCGAACAAAACATACGGTCATGCCGCGGGTCGGGGACAGACTGACTATTTGTTTATCCAGGCTTATCATTGTTATCTCGGAGGCAGTGGACAGCTGTTTCTTTGGTAGGAATGATAGAGTTGAATATTGAGTTGGAGCTGAAATTTAGTTTTTCGTTTAGAACAACTTCCTTTGCGTCATTATTTTTGTGAGCTCTGTAGATTTCATATTCTTCTAACGTGTCCAATTTTCTGCCTTTTTCACAAATGTGGAGTATTTCTAGACTGTTTTCTATTGTTCCGAATGAGTGGTTGTAGTCGATTATATGTTGGCTGAATGCTGACTTCTGTTTGTTCGTCCTAGGGTTGGGTCTGTGTTCTTTAAACCGTAATAATCGACTACAACCACTCATTCGGAACAATAGAAAACAGTCTAGAAATACTCCACATTTGTGAAAAAGGCAGAAAATTGGACACGTTAGAAGAATATGAAATCTACAGAGCTCACAAAAATAATGACGCAAAGGAAGTTGTTCTAAACGAAAAACTAAATTTCAGCTCCAACTCAATATTCAACTCTATCATTCCTACCAAAGAAACAGCTGTCCACTGCCTCCGAGATAACAATGATAAGCCTGGATAAACAAATAGTCAGTCTGTCCCCGACCCGCGGCGTGACCGTATGTTTTGTTCGAGCAGGCCTGCATGTCTTCAAGTTTTACGTGTTATAAATGTATATGTGTCGTGTCGTATTCGTGTTACATGTTACGTGTTAATT